GAAAAAGTACATGGGGGTGTGGAGGTGGGAATCAGAGCTGACACCCATGATGATGAGCAGGTTCCCAAGCACTGTGACTATGTACATGGACAGGAACAGTCCAAAGAGGAGGGGCTGCAGGTCTGGGTCATCTGAGAGGCCCATGAGATGGAATTCTGATATGTGAGTTAAATTTTGTGCTTTTAAATTGCTTGGACATGTTTTGAGAAAGCAAGCAGAGCAAGAAATAAAAGAAAGACATCATCAGACATCCCTTACTCTGTATTCATTTGAATTCAGGTATTCACTAGGAAGCTGCTCATGCTGGAGATTCACACGCACTCAATAGTTCTCAGTAGTGCAACACCCAGTCCTGCTCAATCTTTCACGGTTGCTCTCTCCATCATTCAGCCCTCTCTGTACATCCCGTTTGGAGACATTGAACTGAGCAAAGTTAGAATTCCAGGAGCAAAAGAGAGAAGTTCATGATCACAGTAAAATATAGCCTACCAATGAGGGGGAATTCTACCAATTAAGAAAAAATAATCTTCATAAAAGTTTATAAGAGCCAGTTCAATTTACCTTGCTTTTTTCTAAGAAGTTGAGACAAATTTCTTTGGCTTATTTCATTTAAGATCTTAACTGCAAGTAAATACCAGGTATACATTTAAAATCTTTCCAGTTTTTGGAGAAAGAATAATATCAAAACCCAATATTAGGTTTGCTTTGAGATTGACAGGGCTGTTTTCAAGCATGGAGGAGCATGTGGTGAGCTCAAGGAGATTCTGGAGGGGGCCCAAGAGCATGATCTGTGCTAAATGATCATCAGCCTTTCCTACTGTGACCTCTCCTGTGACCATGGCTGTTCCTCTATAGTGCATGCAGCAGGACCCCCACTGCTCTCCCTGTGGTCTCCAGGAATCCCACAGGAAGAGCACAGAGGACAAGGCTCTCTTTCTGCAGTGACAGGGAAGAGCAATGGTTGATTGGCTTGCTGATGGGACAGCCTGCCTGGGTTCTCCTGTGATGCCCTGTGTCCATGGTCAGACAGCCCAGTGCAAACAAGGCTACAGTCTTTCCCACCTAACAAAGGAGAATAAATTGCATAGCATAATATTCTTCTTTGTTTACCTTAAAGTAAAAAAAAATAGGGCATGCATAACTAAAGCAGGATGAGGGGCATGTGAAGGGCCTAGACCACATGGCTCAGCACCTGCGCCTCGAAAGCCCTGAACCCCTGTTCATGATGCTCTGGATTCTGTCATCCTCATCATCATCCTTATTGCCACCACAATAGTCCTTTCATAGATATCAGGAAACACTTTGAAGACCCATTTTGCCATTGTAGGTGAGATTTCTATGGGAAATAGAACCAGTGTGGGTGGGGAGCACATTTTAAAAAGATATATGTTAGCCCAGCAAAAATAAAAACAAAAATCCACAAACGCCACACATGAAACTTGTCATCCTGAGATCTTCCCATCCAGATACTCAAACTGTGATGTTTGTCCTTGTGATACAGAAACATTGCTTTCAATCTTCTTTTTCTGTATCCCAAGGCTCCCTCCTCACTTACTGGGTTACGCTGCTTCTCTGCTGGCTCATGACAAAGAAGTGCACATGCCAAGACCCACCCATACCTGGTGCCCAAAAAAGGCTCAGACTCTGTGCCCAGCATTCCCAGGAATATGCTGTCAGCTTCCTGATGTAGAACTACAGCAGGAGACTCAACAGTGCAGCTCACTGGACAGGAACCATCCACTGAATGGATGCAGGTACAGGCTGACTGTGGACTAATATAGGACCTTGGAAGCTCAATGCACAGAGCTCACAATTAGACTAATTGGTCCATGCAATGCCCATCTCTAAGGACTTCCCAATGTTAATGCAGGAAGATAAAGTAAAGAAAATGAAGGTGCACCTAAGATTTGGACACTAGCTTAATTACCAGGAAATTTATGGACTCCATTTGCTTCTTTCACTTCTGTTTTTTAATGATGCATCAGTTTTTAAGATCCATTCTTATTAGGTTAAAATATAAATAACAAAAATTGCTCTTTGAACCACAATATGTAGTGATATTTATTTGGTCATTAAGGGTTTTTCACATTAAGCATTCAGTAATTAAAGAAATAGTGGGTCTACTGCTCTAAATGATTGTCCACAGCATTGGAATGATGTGGAACAATAAGATGTGCCTCAGACCAGGATCTAAGAGCATCCTGTCTGTTGCCTTGGTTCCTACTTTTTTCCTTAGGTACATAGGTATTCTTGTCATTGTTCTTGAGTAAATGAAGGCTGTAGAAGCTGCGAAGAGAAATATGGGCCTCATGTTTCCTTGATCCAGACACAGACAAGAGCTGCTCCATCTCCTCTCTGGCTCTGTAGGGCATTCCTGAGTAGGAGGGAGGTACAGACAGAAGAGCACTAGAGTGTTGGAACCCCACTGAGCAAGGCCAGGACCTGTGCACACAGCAGGGGTCTATTCAATGTTAAATAACAACATTTTAAATTTCATCTCTCTGTGGCTCACATGGTACAAGCTCTGGGGAATCAGAAATGCAAGGGAGGTGATAATTCTACCCAAAGATATAGCACATGTCTACATAAGGGGAATATGGAAATGTACCAATACAGAAATATGACGACAGTAGCTTCAGGTCACAGGATATTCCAGTCAAATACTATGACCTGAAGTTAGCCTTTCCATATTCATAATAACTATCTACCTTTTCCCCATATTTTATGTCTTCATCGCATATCCCTCACAAAGGGAGCAAACACTTTATGTTTAATCTAGATTCAGTGGCATTGTATCACCTAGAAATCACCTTGAGTGACATTTACTAATTATCTGAGACGCTGATGTTGGAGAGGCTGATTACCATAATATAGGAGGATGTGGCAGCTGCAAGGATATCCTGGAGAGGGAGGTCTGTTGTCATCCTTGTGTCCTGCACAAGGAGGGATCAGATAACCACAGGGAGGTGTGAGCCCACCGGAAATGAAAAGTCTGAAATATATTTAGAAATAAAGAAAAAAGACACAGAAAATAGGTTCAGAGCTGAGGCCTGGTGGGTGGATGGGATCTGATGGGTCTGATCTCTATCAAAGAGAAAGCTCACCAAACTTTATTTTATAGGAGAACACATTGAGGGACTTCATTGTTAGGAAGCCTTCTTCAAGATAAGCCAGAGCCCAGAGGGGGTGGGAAATTGGTCTGCTCAAGGCCTTATCACTTGCACAGTAATTCTTCCTTCTGCAGGCAGCTGGGCCTCAAGGCTGTTTAGGTGCACTGGAATCTCTTCTACCCAAGGCTAGTGGGCATCTAAGTTCAAAGCTATGGAACTAATAAATTCCATGCCAGGCATGGAATTGGCCCCATTAACAGTGAGCACCTACAAATGGGCTTGTTCTTCTACACCTTCCCTTGGAAAGATGCCCAGATGCAGCAGTCAAGCTTTCCAAGGACATGGAGTTCAAAGCAATTATTTATTTGCTGCTCCCAACAGTCCGTGCTGGATTATTTGTGCCCACTTGACCTGAGATCTTTGGCTCATCACAGATATTCTTCCTAAATTGCTGCACCTGATGCCACTGACTGCTCTGTCCTGGGACCTGGTAGGCAAGAAATTCCAAACAGAAGTGCACAGGAAAAGGGACCCATCCTGGAGCGACAGAGTCACCTATGAAGTGGATAACCTGCCAGTACTGGCCTAACAAGACTCCATGTGACTAAAATCTATAGTGAATTCAAACATAGCCTCAATTATTCAACCTAAAAACCTAGCACAATTACATAAACACCTGTGCTGCTTTCAGTTCTCTAAAATGAAATAACCTATACCTGGGGAAGACCCAGCACAGGAATTTAAACCATCTACAAATAAGGCAGAACTCACAATCTGGCATACAAAATTGTTTCAGTAAAGCCTCATAATGTTTGTATGCACTCCTCATCCTCATCCTCATCTTCATCCTCATCCTCACCTTTAGACCTTCTGGAGTGTCGAGGACAGTTTAAAAGGACACACATTCTCCTCTTGTGGGTGACAGTGTATGGAAAGAAGAGTCAGTGTGGCAGTAAGGCAGGACTTTCCATGAGCTTCCTGTAGAGCTCACCACAACCAGGCATATGAACTCACAATATCATAACTGCACCTTGTTCTCCCATCTGGGTACACAAACTGAATGCTCCTCCTGATGGTGAAGAAATAATGCTGTGGAATGTCCTTCCTCCATCCTTCCCCTCCAACAGCAGTTACAGATTCACCCTGGGCTTTCCTGACTTAGGACTAAAAAGGGCAGCTCCAAATCTCCAAATACCTGGTGCCCAGTGGCCCCACTTCAGCCTCGAGGTGTCAACTCAGGATCAGCTAGGAGCTCCATTAACAGATACCCACAGCAGGAGGAGAGGCAGGAATGGAGCCCACTGGACTGGGGTCCTCACACTGAAGGCCTGGAGGCACAGGCTGATGGTTAACTATTATGGGACCTTGGAGAAGCAGTGCATAGTTCTCTTAAATTACCAAGTATTTGAAGCACATCAACAACTCTAAGAGCTTCCTAATATTAATGATAAAGACGAGGAGGAGAAAATCAACATGAATGAGCATTTATCATTGATATCTAATAATGAAGAGGCTGTTCTATAATATTAAATTAAATTTTAAAACATTTTAGCTTTTTAATTACTATTGTTCCAGGAAAATTAAGTTACAAAAATGATAATTTCCATCATTCCCAAGTACATTGATCAACAGCAGCACTAATCACATCAGTATTTCTATGAAATATTCATCATCATTTCCAAAATCTTTCATTTTTCCAAAGTGATAATTTATTCCCACATAAAGAACTCCCAAACATTTCTTCCCAACACTGGCTACACCCATTGCACTAAAAACTCATTATTATTAAAATCCTTATAATTACTGAATATGCAGATTAATAGAACTGGAGGTTTAGCTTTGCAGAAATTTTGCAAATTATATTGCAACTGGACTCTAAAGTTGCTGAGATCAGAGTGACCTGCTGTACAGTCTCCACAGGGCACTTTTAATGTCCCTGTTCCTCAGACTGTAGATAAAGGGGTTCAGCATGGGGGTGACCACAGTGTACATCACAGAAGCCACCACATCATTTCTGGGAGAATGTGATGCAACTGATCCAAGGTACACTGTGGAGGCTGTCACTAAAAATAAGCAAACAACTGCCAGGTGAGACCCACAGGTGGAGAAGGCTTTGTACTTCCCACCTAAGGAGGGGATCCTCAGAATTGAGGAAATAATTTTGTAGTAAGAGAAAAGGATCCCTGAGATGGGAAAAAGGCCATAGAAGGCTCCCAGAAAATACTTGACAATGTTATCAGAGAAAGTGTTGGAACAGGAGAGATTCAGCAGTTGAGAAGGGTCACAGAAGAAATTAGAAATTTCCACATCCTTGAAGCTGGTAATATTTAAGGTCATGAAACTGTGCAGCTGGGAGTCCAAAAGACTCAGCAAAAATGACACCAAAGTTAAGAAGCCACAATGGCGAGGGCTCATAATGACCAGATAATGCAGAGGATGACAGATGGCCACAAACCTGTCATAAGCCATCACAGTCAGAAGCAGATCATCCATGCATCCAAAAAAGATAAAAGAGGACATCTGTGTCAGGCAGCCCACATAGGAGATGGCTCTGCGGTGAGTTTGGATGTTCATGATCATCTTTGGGACTGTGGTGGAGGAGAAACCGATGTCAGCCAAGGACAGGTTGGAGAGGAAGAAGTACATGGGGGTGTGGAGGTGGGAGTCAGAGCTGACAGCCAGGATGATGAGTAGGTTCACAAGCACTGTGACCAGGTACATGCACAGGAACAGTCCAAAGAGGAGGGGCTGCAGGTCTGGGTCCTCTGAGAGGCTCAGGAGTTGGAATTCTGATACGCCCGTTACATTTTGTGTTTCTGGACACCTTTGGGAAAGGCAAAGAGTGTTAACAACAACAACAAAAAAACATCATCAGTCCCCCCTCACTCTGTCCATTTGAATTCAGGTATTCACTAGGAAGCTGCTCACATTAGAGATCCACATGCCCTCAGCATAGTTCTCAGTAGTAAAACACACAGTCTTGCACACTCTCACTGTAGCTCTCTCCGTCATTCACTCCTCTTTCCACACCCTGTTTGGAGACATTGAACTGAACAAAGTTAAAAACCCAGGAGCAAAGGCAACAGGTTCATGATAACAATAAAATATAGTCTACTGTTTAAGAAAATAAGTGGGGGAGAAGTAATAATTTTCCTATGAAGAATAAATAATCTTCATAAGTTACTGAAAAACCAGTTCGATTTACCTTGTTTTCTTCTAAGAAGTTGTGACAAATTTTTTTCACCCCTCTTTTCTACATATTTGTAGACATTGAACTGAGCAATGATAGAAACTCAGGTCTAGAAAGAAGATGTTCATGATCACAGTAAAATATAGTCTGCTGTATGAGGGAAAACAGAGAATAAATAATGGCTTTCCTATTAAGAAAAAAAAAACTATCTTTATAAAAATTAATTAAGAACCAGTCCAATTTAACTTTTTTTAAAATTCTAAGTACTGAGATAATATTGTTGACTTATTCCTTCTAAGACACCATCTGAACTCCAATCTCTGATAAATAAACTGAGGGTGATGAGTCACAGTCAGAAAGAATGGCTATAAGACAATCAAAGAGTTCCATCATTCTTTGGTTTCCTCATTTCCCTCTTCTGTGGATTTAAGTTTACTGTTCAAAGATTAGATAATATAAAATAAGTAGCCTTGTCTTTGGCAAAGTTCAAATATCAATAAATATGGTTGAGTTAAATGCATATAATCAATAGTAACACTGACCATGACTGTGGCACAATTAGATGATATTGAAAATTAAGTGATAAGAAACACTTTGAATACTTTAATCTTATGCACTTTTATTTGTATCAAGCCATATAATATCATTAACATATTTGCTGTATCAAAAGGCTCCTTGCTCATTTCCTTTTTCTTAATTCTGTATACCATCTGGCTTATGAAAACCGCTTCATGGTTTTGTTATCTCAACCCCAAAGTTTCATAGTTTCGGACTATCTCACAAGGACAGCCCCAAATCTCAGGTCTCATTTCCAACCACCTCATTTCCACTTCATGGACAGCCTGGTCATTTCAGAAACATGGATTCCAATTCTTTCACTTAAGCCAATCATGGGTTCATTATTTTTCAGTTCTCACTGTGATTGAATTGGATAACAGCAAAAAGAACAGTACAGGAAATTATGTAGACCCTTCTGACCCAAAGAGCACCTAGTAACTATTTATTCCTTACCACATTTGCATCAATGGGAAATCAATTCAGATGACAATTCTGAAACCAGACACTAATGACCTGACCTACTTCACAGAGGACTGACAGAATCTGAGACCCATCAACAAGATTTTTTTTTCTTTCCCACCCAACAAAGGTTTCTACCTATGTCATGAGGTCTTAACTACAGTTACATCTTGGGTATACATTTAAAGACTTTCCAGGTTTGTGAGAATAATATCAAGACTCAATATTAGGTTTTCCTTTAAGAATACACTTTTCAAGTATGGAGGGGAATGTGGTGAGCTCATGGAGGTTCTGGAGGGGCCTAAGCACAATCTGTGCTGAATGATCATCAGCCTCCCCTACTGTGATCTCTCCTGTGACCTGTGGCTGTTCCTCCATAGTGCATGGAGCAGGCACCCCCACTGTTCTCCCCTGTGATACCCAGAAATCCCACAAGGAAGAGCACAGAGGACAAGGCTCTCTTTCTCCAGTGACAGGGAAGAGGAAGGGCTGTTTGGCTTGTTGATGGGACAGCCTGCCTGGATTCTCCTGTGATGCCCTGTGTCCATGGCTAGACAGCCCAGTGCACACAACGCTTTGCTCTTTCCTACTTGGCAAACAAGAGGAAGTTTCATAAATATAATGTTCTTCATTGATTACTGTAAAGGAATAATAAATTGGGCATGCATAACTGGAGCAGGGTGATATACATGAAATGAAAGAGATTGCATAGACCATGTTGCTCAGCACCTGAGCCTGGGAAGCCCTGCACCTCCAATCAAGATGCTCTAGTTTCTCTCATCCTCCTCATCATCCTATCGCCACCACCATAGTTCTTTTGTAGACCTTTGGGAACCCTTTTGAAGAACCCACTTTCTGCTGTTGTGGGTGAGATTTTTATGGGAAATAGAACCAGTGGGAGGGGGATGCAAATCATATCTTACCTAAAATAAAATCATAAGCTTCACAAGCAACAGACATGAAAATTGACACACTGGAATTTGCCTATCTGGATACTCAAAGTGATGTTTGTCCTTGTGATACAGAAACAATAGTTTCTTCCTGTATCCGAAGGCTCCCTCTGCACTTACTGGGTTGTGCTGGTTCTCTGCTGGCTCATGACATAGAAGTGCACGTGCCGGGCTGGGGTTGTAGCTCAGTGGTACAGTGCCTGCCTCGCAGGTGTGAGGCACTGGGTTCGATTCAGAGCACCACATAAAAATAAATAAAAAAAGATATTGTGTCCATCTACAACTAAAAAAATATTTAAAAAAAGAAGTGCACATGCCAAGACCCACCCATACCTGGTGACCAACAAAGACTCAGACTCTGTGCCTAGCATTCCCGTGAATATGCTGTCAGCTGGTGCTTCCCAACGCAGAACCACAGTAGGGGACACAGCCATGCAACTCACTGGTCAGGAACCATCCACTGAAGGGCTGCAGGCACAGGCTGACTGCGGACTAATATAGGACCTTGGAAGCTCAATGCACAGAGCTCACAATTAGACTAATTGGTCCATGTTATGCCATCTCTAAGGACTTCCCAACATTAATGCAGGAAGATGAAGAAAAGAAAATGAAGATCACTTAAGATTTGGACCCTAGCCGTAATTGGGAAGAACCTTGTTACTCAATTACTTCTTTCACTTCTGAGTTTTTAATAGCTACACCAGCTTTTAAGATCCATTCTTATTAGGTTAAAATATAAATCACAAGACATTACTACTTGAACCATCTGAAGTATACATTTTAATGACATTTATTTGGTCTTTAATTTTTTTTTTTTTAAATTAAGCATTCACTCATTAAAAAATAGTGGGTGCACTGTTCATAATAATTGTCAAAGGATTCTACTGTCATATTGGAGTAATGTGAAAGTACAATGTGTCTCAGACAAAGCTCTAAGAGTCTCCTGTCACTTACCTCTGTTTCTACTTTCTTCTCCTAGGTTCGTGGACTTTCCTGCCATTGTTTGTGAGTAACTGAAGGTTGTAGATGCTGCTAAGGAAAGTATGGGGTTCTGGTGTCCATGACACAGACCCAAACAAGAGAAGCTCAGTCTAGTCTCTGGCTCTGTGGGACATTCCTGAGCAGGAGGAAGGTACAGACAGGAGAGCACCAGGGGGTTGAAACCCCATTGAGCAAGGAAGGCCAGGACCTGTGCACACAACTAGTATTCAATGCATTTTTATTTTTTATCTCCTCTGTGCCTAACATGGTACAAGCTCTGGAGAAGCAGAAATAAAAGGGAGATGGTCGTTGCATTCAAATATACATCATATATTTAAATAAGGATATATAAAGATGCAAAATTATAGAAATATAAAAAGAGTGACTTGAGTTCAAAAATATTTCAGTGGAATAGTTGCAAGTTTAGCCTTTCCATATTAATTATAACCATCTGACTTTGGTCTATAATTTATACCTGCATCACATCTTCATCACCCTGATGGTTTGTTTTGTAGTTTAATGTTGTTCTGATTTGTTACACCTGATAATAGAATGCATTTGACACATCATACTGTATCAATTAGAAACCAGCTCGGGTGGTTTCAAAGACAGTAACAACCTGCCTTTGTTGCAGAAAGAGGAGTTTAGCCAACAGCAGTAAAAATTACATTGTGACTTCCTGGACTTGATGCACTAATCTTTTTCACTGTTTTCCAACCATCAGAATATTTTAAGCTGAATCCAGGGTCTTAGCTACAGGCACCTCTCTGGTTATCCTAGCTCTTTCAAGATTCCTAAAGAGTAAAGACCTGCTTATCTCCTATTCAGATAAGAGGACTATTTACCAGAATGCAAGAGCTTGAGGCAGCTTCATGGGTCTGCTGGAGTGGGGGAAAAGGGAGGTCTATGGTGGATTACTTGGCCCACCTGACCATAGACCTTTGTCCCCTCTCAGCCATTCTTCATGAACTGGTGCAACTGATGCTACTCACTGCTTTGTCCTGGGCTCTACCAGAAATCTGGAAGGGAAGTGCAGAGGAAAGGGGTCCCATCCTGCAATCACAGTAAAGTGAAACACAGGGCTGATTGTGGAGGGGACAACCTGCCAGCACTTTCCTGCTCAGATGCCATGTGAGTCAAACTCACAGTGCATTTCACACATGCCTTGTTATTTGACCAAACTCCTAACACAGTTACTAAAAACTCTGATCCTCTCTATTCTGTCAAATAAAATATCATGGCACTTATACCTTGGTGAAGATTTTGCAGATGAATTAAATAATCTACAAATAGTACACAGTTCAGTGCCTGGCACTCAGGGATCTCTCAAGGAAGGATCATGACAAGGGTCACAGAAGGATCATGTGCTATCCTCATCCAGGTCCACCTCCTCCTCATCACCTTCATAAAGGTGATAAGGACAGCATGAAGAAGCACATTCCCTCCATGTGGATGACAGTGTGTGGTAAGAAGGATCAGTGTGGGAGGAAAGGAAAACTGTAGTGACATTGCCGCCATGCTCACCACAACCATGGATGTCACACACATGCTTCGACTCTCAGTCCCCATGGCTGACACTGTGCAGTACTCTCCCCTCTGGGCAGCCACACTGCATTTTGGTCCTTCGTCCATCCTCAACTCCCTCAGCAGTTACCTATTTACACTGGCTCAGGTGGTCATGACTAAGGAGAGTGGATTCCACATGGCTGGTACCCAGGCACCTCCCACCTCATCTTTAGGGTTGACATCTGTGCACGCTCAGGTAGGGGCTTCCTAAGACACAACTGGGGTGAGAAGAAACCCAGGATGGGGCCCACCTGACTGGAGCCATCAAGCTGAAATGCTGGAGGCACAGGCTGCTCATTGACTATTGGAGGCTCAATGCACACAACTTCTACTGGCCAAGAGGCGATTATCACAGACTCTAAGATGTCCTTATAATGATTTGGTAGGAAGAAGGGTAAAAAATGAACAACAGCTTATGTCATTTAAACATGATTTAAATGGAAAAAGAAGTCCATTTGTACTGTTGATTTCTTTAATTGTTTTTTAAACATAGTGGTTTATAAAGTCCACTTTCATTATGGAAATTTTAAGTTACAAATACTTGGAATCATAATTACCATTGCCAATTGCATGTCTCAGGGGCATTAAATATTGACAGAGTTGTGAAACAATCACTATCAACTATCGCCAATATTTTTTATCTCACCAAACTAAAAATTTGTTCCCAATGTGAAAACTTCCAAACATCCTTTCCCAACATGAGTTCCAACCATTCTACTATAAAACTTGGTGAGAAATTAGACACAGGGGAATATTGACAGAACCATGTATTTAGCTTTCCTGCATTTTCGAACACATATTGCAACTAGACACCACAAGGGGTGAGATTAGACTGTCTTGCTTGCAGCCTCCTCAGGGCCCTTTTAATGTCCCTGTTCCTCAGGCTGTAGATGAATGGATTCAGCATGGGAGTGACCACAGTGTACATCATTGAGGCCACTGCACCATTTCTGGGAGAATGTGACACAGCTGATCCAAGGTACACCCCTGAGGCTGTTCCAAAAAATAAACAAACAACTGCCAGGTGAGAGCCACAGGTGGAGAAGGCTTTGTACTTCCCACCTGAGGATGGGATCCTCAGAATGGAGGAAATAATTTTGTAGTAAAAGAAAAGGATCCCTAAGATGGGAAAAAGGATATATATGGCAGCAAATAAATACTTCATAATGTTATCAGAGAAGGTGTTCAAGTAGGAAAGATTCAGAAGTTGAGAATGGTCACAGAAGAAACTAGAAATTTCCACATCATTGAAGCTGGTAATTTTTAAAATCATCAAACTGTGCATCTGGGAGTCCAAAAGACTCAGCAAGAAAGACACCAAAGCTAAGAAGCCACAGGGGCAAGGGCTCAAAATAACTGAATACTGCAGGGGGTGACAGATGGCCACAAACTGGTCATAGGCCATCACAGTTAGAAGCATGTCATCCATACAGACAAAAATGGCAAAAAGAGACATCTGTGTCAGGCAGCCCATGTAGGAGATGACTCTGCTGTGAGTCTGGATGTTCACCAGCATCTTTGAGACTGTGGTCAAGATGAAACTGATGTCAGCCACGGACAAGTTGGAGAGGAAGAAGTACGTGGGGGTGTGGAGGTGGGGGTCAGAGCTGACCGCCAGGATGATGAGCAGGTTTCCAAGCACTGTGACCAGGCACATGGACAGGAACAGTCCAAAGAGGATGGGCTGCAGGTCTGGATCCGTGACAGGCTCAGGAGTTGGAATTCAGAGACATGGGTTAGATTTTGTGTGTCTATTTTTCTTGAACACCTTTTGAAAAAGCAATGAGGGTGAGAAAAAGAAAATAACAAAATAAGCACCCGTCACTCTGTATACTTGTGATTCAGGCAGGCACAAGGAAGGTTCTCACACTTAGGTCTGTGCACCTTCAATAATAATGCTCAGTAGTGAAACACCCAGCCTCTGCACACTCTTTCATTTCCATTTATCACTCATCCAACCCTCTTTTCATACTCACCTTAGAGATATTGAACTGAGCAATGTTTGAAGTCCAGCAACCGAGGAGAGAAATTCATGATCACAATGAAATATGTCTTATTGTTTAAGGAAAAAAATAGTTAATGAGGAAAGACCTTCCTTTAAGGGAAATTAAGAAGCAGTTTGATATACCTTATTTTATTTTTAGGCCTTTGGACAAAGCTCTTTGACAAGATTTTTACAATTGTGCAAGGACTGATTTTCCTGAATACTAGAGCAAGGGTGAGGGATCCTGACCAGATAGCAGCATGTGCCCTTTTACTGCAAGGGGTCTCATCGTTCTTTCCACTTCTCATTCGCCTCCTGTGTGGATTCGTATTTTTTTCTTTAAAAATGATAGAATATAAACTAAACATCCTTGTCATTGTAAACTTAAAATTTGAATAAATATGAATGATTCAGTGCACAATATCAATATAGCACTGACCACAAAAGTGGCAATATTGTGCCCTGTACGAGTCATAAAAATCATAAGCTGTAAGAAGTTGTTTAGTCAGGTTTTTCATTTCTGTGACCAAAAGACCTGATAGAACAATTTAGAGGAGGAAAAGTTTATTTGGGGCTCATGGTCTTAGCCATCAATGGCCTAGTCCATTCCCTAGTTTTGCCTGAGGTGAGGCAGAACATCCTGGCAGAAGTGTGTACAGCTGGAATGGGTCACCCAGAAAGTGTAGAGAGTGTTTTCTCAGCAAGAACAACATAGAAACTCCAAAGGCATGCCCCCTGGGACCCACCTCCTCCAGCCACACTCTATCTGCCTTCAGTCACCACCCAGTTAATTCCTATCAGAGAATTAATATACTGATTAGGTGAAGCCTCGTATAACTCAAACATTTCATTTCTAATTTTTCTTGCATTGTCTTACACATGAGCTCTTGGAGGACACATGATGTAACATCAATCAACTCCTCTGAAGAGTTTAATTTTATGCAGGTTTTTTGAATCAACCCATATAATATCAATAAAATATCTGCTATGTAGAATGACTCTTCACTCTTTTTCTGTTCTTTGACTCTCTACTCCATCTGGCCTGCTAAAACTGTTTAATGGATTTGTGATCTCAAAACATCAAGTTTATAGTTTTAAGATTTAACCCCAAAGAAAGCCCCAGAGCTCAGCCTTTCACGCAACCACTTCATTTCCTCTTCATGGACTGTCTGTTCATTCCTGATAAGTGGCTTGAAATTCCTTTATTTCAGCCACATGAGGGAAAAAGTTTCATTCATTGTAAGTTTTCAATGTAATTAAATTAGAAAACAATGAAAAAATAATAATAAACAGTCAAGGAAATAGTAAATACACTTGGGAATTGCCAAATTGTAAATAATTACCTACCTTGTATAGTTTTTGAAAATTTATTTTTAAATCTTTCCAATTGCATACGTAGTGCTTATGTCTCATAAGTTAATATAAGCACTTTTGGATATTTTAGATTATCCAGATTCCACAATGTCAGATCAACACCAATTTAAGCAGCATATCTGCATGTGAAGTCTTCAGATGTCCTTACGCCAGAATTGGAATCCACTGAGTAACAACTTCCTGGCATTTAGAACATGCTCTCTGAATGTTAGAAATTATAATCGTTGATAATACAATCTCTGTTAAAGCACACAAATTCAATAATACTAGTCTCAGGATTAACATTGTACATAGACTGAATCATTACCTACAAAACATGAGGCTTAATATCTCTGCCTGATTCCATTCTCTTGCAAACCTGTCTCCAAACACATCTTCTGTCATGAAGTGGGAAGGTATAATTTCTGTTGGTGTTTCCATGTCAGTATTATCTATCATAGAGTTTCCTTTACAAAATTGCCTTAAAAGTACCCAAAGCTCATCTAAGCAGTCTGCAACACCAATACTTATTGCCCCTGCAATGTACTAGGTTACATTAATTCCATCTGTGAAGTACATTCCTCTTCTTCAAAGTCTTTATCTGATGCAAAGTGTTACCTGAAGAAAGGACACCACTTAATGGGAAAGTTTATTAATATGTCAAACATTTCAAAATGATTTTGCCTCTCACCAGGTCACACAAGAAAGAGTGCCTGTGTAATACATTGGCCAGGAATAGTTGAATGGTTTCCAATGTACAAATATACTATTAATGACCAACATTTATGTCACTATACAGACAGTTTATATTACCTACATCTTCTCAATCTTAATATGTATGATGAATATGAGGCTAAACCCTAACTAGTAATATTTTGTCCTTCAAGACTCCAGAAGAAATTTCATCTTGTATAGGGAATACTATTTCCTCTGGCTGCAACAGCAGAGCTGGTGCCTGAACTAGAGTCAGGAAGGCAGCATTTCAGACCCACATCCCACCTGCCAGTGTGTGCACAGTGTGAATCTCTCCTCCTCTCCCTGCTCATGGCTTAAGGGAAACACAGATTATATTATATCTCCACAACATGGGCAGCATCAACAGGAAATATGGAACTCAATAAATATTGGGCCACTCAATAAAAATTGTGATTTAATATAAGATTCCATTCTTACAGAAGAAAGCCATGTTCAAGGGCAGTGGAGGCTGGAACGAGGTGAAACTCTGACCTGTGCCTCAGTGGAAGGCTGCAGCATTAAGTGCCCCTTCAGCTCTACCTCATTGCCTTTCTTCAAACCCATGAAACTCTCCACCATGATGTCTCAAAATTTGTCTACTGTGGATAGTATTAAATAGTATTAAATAAAAAGCAATATGTGGATGCTAATTCACTAAGGCAGGGGGCACTAGGGAAGAATAGTTGCCACAGTCTGGCTGGGCACAAAATAACTGAGCCACCATGAGGCACTTGTAGGTTCAAACAGGAACTCCTTTATTGTCCAAACTCCCATGAACACCACCCACACAGCCCTCCCAGGAACACCACCAACTGGAAATCCCTCTTCCAGAACTTCCCCAACCAATGCAAACTCCCCAGGAATCCCCACCAGAACTCCAAAGTAGCATGGGCCCCCAAGGGGGACAGCAGAGGTCTATATACAACTGAATAAGCAGCTTAACTTAACCATTATCATCTCAATGGCTTGCTGGTACTCCCTCTGGCAAAATGCTAGACTTGACTGTGGCTCTCAACATCTCTCCCCTTCTGTTTAATTAAACAACAAGCATGTGGCTTAGGGACTGTGCTTAGGTTGTCCAATACTACATATGGTCCTTAACATCATTGGATGAGCTAACCTCAAGGCATCAGCCTCCTGTCTTAGGTTGGTACCATTGCAATTGGATCCTACTGGTCATTGACTACTGGTCCAGCATACAACCATACTTGTGGATAGGCCTTTACAACCGTGGGGGGTGAGGTTCTTTGCCTCACCTCTGTTGGCCCCCAAATTTGGCCTTTGCATCAGTGGGGGGTGGGGTCCTTTGCTCCATCCATCACAATATTTTAAGCTGAATCCAGAGGTCTTAGCTGCAGGCACCTACCAAATACAGTCTTAACCCCTTCCAAGTCCCTGAGTAGTCATGTAATCATGACATGCTTTGCTTCCTCCCAAGAAGAGGGCTGATTCCCAGAATTCAGAAGGATGTGGCAGCTGCAAGGGTGTCCTATAGAGGGGGACTCAGGGAACTCCGGGCTGGTTGATTTGTGCCCACTTAAACTTAGATCATCAACTCATTTAAGCCACTTTTCCAGAATTAGTGCAAGTGTTAGTCCTGGGATCTACTGGAAATCCCAAGTGAAGGGCACAGAAAAAATAGAGTCATATTCTGAAGGGACAGAAAATGAAACAGGGGTGCTTGTGAAAGGGACAATCTGCCAGCACTGTCCTACCAAGATGCCATGTGTCACAAATCCACAGTGCATTTCACACATAGCTTCAGTTATTTGACTTAAACTGCTAGCCCAAGTTACAAAAATATCTAATCCTCTCTATTCTGTCAAATACAATAACATGGCACTTATACCTTGGTGAAGATTTTGCAGAAGAATTTAAGAATCTACAAATAGCACACAATTCAGCGCCTGGCACTCAGGGATCTCTGGTGGAAGGATCATATGTTTGGATGCTGTCCTCATCCAGGTCCACCTCCTCCTCCTCACCTACATAGACATCTCTCAGTGCTGAGGACAGTGTGAAGAGCACATTCCCTCCATGTGGATGACAGTGTGTGGTAAGAAGGATCAGTGTGGGAGGAAAGGAAAACTGTAGTGACATTGCCGCCATGCTCACTACCACCGTGGATGTCACACATGTGCCTCGACTCTCAGTCCCCATGACTGACACTGTGCAGTGCTCTCCCCTCTGGGCAGCCACACTGCATGTTGGTCCTTCCTCCATCCTCACCTCCCTCAGCAGTTACCTATTTACCCTGGCTCAGGTGGTGATGAGTAAGGAGAGTGGATTCCACATGGCTGGTACCCAGGGGCCTCCCACCTCATCTTTAGGGCTGACATCTGTGCATGCTAAGGTAGGGACTTCCTAATAGACACAACCATTGTGAGAAGAAACACAGTGTGGGGCCCACCTGAATGGAGCCATCAATCTGAAATGCTGGAGGC